AAATGTCTCATCTGCTGGCTTTGTAGTGAGGGAACTTGCCTGCTGCTATGTGCTGAATTATTCCCCACTCGTAATTCATCCCATGTCTTGCACTTGTCCCCTCCTTTGTTTATCAAACCTGTTGGTCCCACTGCTGCCCAAACACTGGATTAAATTGGTTCATCAATCATCTGGCTGCCAGCCACGGTCTTGCCAGGGAAGGGAAGAAATGAATGGATAGAAGTACTGTAAAACTCCACAGATAATATTCTGATTAGGAAAAGTGCTTACTTCTGCAGCCACTTTTAAGCCCATTAGAATAGCTGTTTGTATTCCTTATTACTGAAATTAAGGCACTTAGCTTGAAGAGGCTGTAGTGAATCAAGCCCTTTGTTAGAAGGGAATTTGGATCTTCATTTTTGCGGTGGTCCTGGCTGCATTACCCTCAGAGTCAAGAATGATGAACCAATTAATACCAGCTAAGTATTCAGCACAGTAATATTCATAGCTGGGGCTTTGCTTTTCAGGGGAAAGAAGTTACAAAAGCAAATATTGCTTTAGTGAGGCCGGAGCTGAGTCTGCCAGGAGGAGCTCATAGAAATTCATTTCCAGGCTGGTTACGAATGGCTGGACAAGTGGTGCCTTTGTACCATTTGGCACATCAGCCCCAGGGGCTTGGCAGGGGCCATGGTGGTGCACGTTACACCCTCCCCATCTCTAATTAAGCAGAAATGCCTGGATGGATGCAGGGCTTTGTCATTTCAGGCCAGGCTTCTGAGTAGACTGGGGCGCCTATGGCACCGGGGGGTGCACAGAGCATGTCCATCACAGACACCGTGGGCATCCAGGATGGGGCTGTTCAGTGAAAGTGGAGACAGCATCAGTCTAACACATCCTGACTTGCATTAGTTTGGAGAATAGCACACCATAAATATGACCTCATTTTTAAAAAAAATTTGGTGAGGTGTTTTCCTTACTCAATATTTTTATCTGAAATAATTTTTTTTTTTAAATTAGCTAAAACAAAAATTTTTTTTTTTTTCTTTTTTTGGGCAATTTTAACCACACCGGCTTTGTGAAAACGTTTATCGTTTGACCCAAAAACATGTGTCGGAAGGAAGGCTGAGTTTGTTTTGGTGTCTGAGGTCCCAGTGTTGTGCCTGGCAGCAATTACCATGAAGGGTCCGCAATAGATGCCTTGCTCTGTACTTGCACCTCTTTTGGCTCTGGAGACTTGAATTGCTCCATCTGCTTAGGTGGACAGTCCTGGATGGAGGACTGGACTTGTCTAAGTAGACGAGTTTTACCTTTCAGCTAGCAGTACCTAAGAGACAGACACCATCAAGACAAGTGAATAGCCTGACCACTGTCTGCATTTACATGTCTTCATTTCCTTTTAGGTTTAATTACCATTGGTTTCACCTTGTCTACCAAAACAAGGACACTGGGTCTGTCTGGTCTCTCTGATCTACATGAGACATTTCCTGTCCTTGTTTCCCACATGGAGTTTGCTAGAGCACAGCTGTACCTGATGTGGAAGCCCCCAGACAGAGTGTAACTTCTCTGTGTCAGGCATCAAAAGGTCTGGGTCATAAGCTATTGGATGGGTACCAAAACCAAGGGAGTTCCTCAAAACGCACAGAGATGCCAAAGATCTGATCCATGTTTAAAAAAAAGTTCAAGAAAAACTGCACCAAAAACTTCTTAGTTGCTAGATGCTAACCAGTAAAATTGGCCTCAACTGTATTTTGTGTACTAGCTGTTTTTGAGATCTGTTTAGCTTAAACCTGCAGAAATGCTGTAATTTGCATATATTGACATCAGAGAGTAATGGGATTGTTTTGCTAATTAGGAAATAGCAGCAAAGAATTTTCTTACTGATAAGCAAATCCTTTCAGACTAGTCTTACACCAGTGGAGGATGATTTCTGTCTTGTGATTTCTCCATCTCAACAGAAACCTTTCTGAATGGATTAAAGGAGGAACATAAAATTATCCTTCCCATGTGCCCTTACCTATGCACTCTACAGAGTTTGACATACGAGGGATTTGATTTTGCTGGATCACAAAGTATGCATTAGGTTAAAAGAACAAAACCCACTTGGATTAGGTAATTTGTTGGAAACTGGAACTTCTGTGAAAGTGCATGCCTATTCCCCAAGCAAAATCGAGTTATATAGTAATGACAGGAGATGTAATATTCATCAACTCTATGGCAGCACGTGACTAATACAAGACATCTAGTTTTGACTGGGCTGAAAATTTTAACGGGAAGTTAGATTTTTACCATAAGTGCAATCCTTTCACAAAGGTCAGGGCTGTCTTCAAAGAGCTCATCAAGAAAAAAAGCTGTTCTTTGTGAGCAGGTTTGTCACTAGCTTGAAGATCCTATCAGGAAAAAGGCTATTAGTGCTCAACAAATCAGCCTTCTGAATCCCTTTGAGTCACTTAACACATCATTTTGGGTAGATCCGACCTCTTTTATTGAATCCAATCAAGATACACTGTCAGGTTTTCAGGTTATTTGACATTTTGATTAATGGTTTCTTTCCCCTTTGAATTTCCATCTCTCTTAAAGTGAAAAAATACTGTTTTGAAACTGTATGAAGTTCAATTTAAAAGAGGTCAGCCCAAAATATTGCAGAATTTTCCATAACGTAATGTGACATTTCAGAAATGTCAAACCGAAATGTTCCAGCATTTTCAAACTTTCCCTCCATTTTGGGGGTTGAAACTGTTTACCTCAGTTTATCCATAGACTCCAATAGCTTCAGTGCTGTGCATTTACCTTCGCCTGACAAATCCAACCTAACATCGGTGAATAGGAGGCTCTCTGTTCAAGCCTTTTATTAATGCTGCGATGGGTAACAAATGGTTGAAGGAAATCTTTGAGGAGAGCTGAATGACCAACCCTTTGTAAAGCTTTCTCTGCTTTCCTTACCAAGACTTTTAAGTGATCCTAAGAAATATTTCTGTGTTCCCAAAAGCCCCTGGCATTTTTCCAGAAAGGGCTCTTTTGAGTGTTTGGAGGTCCCAGATGAGAAGCTCACAAAATCCCTGGTCACCCTGCTGAGAGGCCTGGGTGGACATCCTTTGCAAAGTGAGTAGGATGCCTTCCCCATCTGAACTAAAGGACATGGTGCTAGGTGCGAACATGGGAGTTGTGTATATGCTGCTGTTTTGAAATGATCGTTTTTGTCCTGCCTGCAGCCTAGTCTCTCTCCTTTTTCATATATAAGGTTTGACATTGTTTCTGCCTTCAACATTTATAAGGCATTATGCTTAAAAAATTAGGTTGATGAATGAGAAGAGACGGTTCTCCTAATAAAGTCATTGACAGAAAGGCCAGAAGCCTTTTTTTCCCCGTGGAAGCTTGTCATTTGGCTGCTGTAAATTGGTCTGAGAAGCAAGATAGTAAAAAAAAGACAAAAATAGAGCAATAGATGACACTGAAGCAGAAAGTCCCAGCAAATCAAGCATTTGTGGAGAAATAAAATTAAAGCATTATGAATTCCTCATTCATTGTAATGAGGGAACAAAGAGTGTCTCAGAACTTACAGAGCTTATGTGCTTCTACAAGACGTTTCTTGTAGGTGACAGATCTGTTACTGGCTGCCAGGTGACCTTGCTGATATCACACCATGGTCTATAAAAATGCGTTCTCCTTTCATCATGCTTACAAGACTGAGACCCACTGGAATGGCATTAGGTGGTCTTGTCAACGAGTAGATTTGTCCTGTCCAATTTTAGCTTTCCTTTGCCTGTTTTGAGCAAGGAGTTTGCTTTGACTTGGCTCCTGGGCTCAAAGGTGCCTGGAAGGTGTGTTAGAAGAACCAGTATTTGAATACTTCTCAAACTCCAGATCTAGCTTTCTGCAGTGGCCATCCTGTTGATGTCAGTGTGACTGTGGGACCATCACAGGAGACAGTCCCCACTCAGCTGCAATTCTGCTTTCTGTGTTTATTATTGACAGCTGTACTAACAAGCTGTAACTTTGTGAGGTTCATTATGCTCAAGCCTAAATGCCTTGCATATAACTTTGGGAACTCCAGCTGATCAGGCTGAATTCAAGGCACCTGCTTGGGTACTCAGAGCTACGTAGAAGAGCAATTACCAGAGCTTCGGATCAGTCTTTTGAGCTACTGGGAACCATAGCAAGAGACGTGAAAGCCATTTTAACACCATCAAAACGGAAACTCCTCCTGCAGCTGACACATCCAGCTGAATGCACTACCCCCAGGAGAGAAGACCATGACTCCAAAACCAGTGGCCCCATTAAGCATGCACGTCATCCCTCTGATAGTCAAGAGAACTGCCCTGCTCATATTTCTATGTGTTCATGTGAATCAAGGCTGAAAGAGTGCCTACTAGCTCTGGTTTCCTAGGTGTTTGTCCTGCACTAAAGCTCAGGCCTGAGGTGGATGCAAGGTGACTGGTGTTGTCTGGCCTCTCTATGGTGGTGAAACTGGGCCAGTCGTTCCATCTAGTTGTTAGTATGTTCAAAAGCACTGCACCAGAAGGGAAAATTCAGCCCCTCTTGTCCTTCTGCAGGTAAGAACATGCTGAACATTTCTCCTGACTTGGAAGAACATTTTTATGCAAGTGGCACATTTAAAGGGCTTTTCTCTTGTTACCTTTCCCAGTCAGGCTGGAATCCAGCCTCCTCATGGAATCAGGATTGTAGGTATGTCTGGAGGGGCATGACAGACCCTTGGCTCACTGCCCATCTGTCCATGTTCTGAGGGGAGGCTGAGCCATCTCAGAAGTCGTCGTGATGCATAGTATTAAATCCTAGGATATGTTTGGTCTTAAAAGCACTTAAAAGTACCAGTTGAGATGCTATTGGTTTCATCATCATCCTAATTGTGCAAATAACCTAATTCAGCTTAAAAAGTATCTGATTTCCAACCAGTTTACTGTCATATCCCAGGATCATGTTTCAGCCAAGAAAAGAGCATCACATCTTCATTTCCAGATGAAACAAATAAATATGTTGCATTGTTGTTGTTGTATATCTTGCAGACAAACAAAGCAGTAGCCAAGGGGGACTTCCACCATGCAAGCTCCAGCTCCCGGCGAGCACTCTTCCTGGCTGTCCTGTCCATCACAATTGGAACTGGCATCTACGTTGGGGTGGCTGTGGCTCTTATTGCCTATCTTTCCAAAAACAATCACTTATGAGACTCAGGAAAGGGGGAGAACCAGCCACCCAGTGCCTGCACTGCAGAACTCCCCAGCAGATCAGACTGCATGATTGTCCAAAAAGATCAAGAGACCAACAAACACCTGGGGGCAGGTACAGGATAAGATGGGCTTGTGCATAATTGTAGGGTGGGAAGCTGGCTGGGGTGGGGATAGTTCTGTCATTTGTGATGCACAAGTCTTGCTTCTCTTCATGAACCCCCCATACAGGAACAAAAGAAGGAAAGAAAGAGAGAAAGAGTGAAAGAAAGAAAAAGAAAAGAGAGAGAGAAAGAAAAAAAAAACAGAAGGAAGGCATTTGGGGGAGGTGTGGAGAGGGGTGTTTTGCCTTTGCCTTCTTTGCAGTATGGTGTTTACAAGAAGCTGGCAAACTGAGCTGTTCTCTTAATATCTTCTTGGTCGCCTGAACTTTGCAGCCAGCATGAGCTTGTGCTTAGTTTGCTTGTTAAGCACGGCATTGAGATCTGGGAAAGCATGGCTGGTTCTCTGAAAGAGCAATATAACAACAGAAGGAAGAATATGTTTTCTTTGTTTTGAATGCAGGACTCATTTGCCTAAGAGTGAAGCAGAGACCTCAGCATAGAATGGTATTGCCTACTCTTCCTGCGTGTGTAGGTTTCCACGGAAGGAGAAAAGGGAATAAAAAATACTTTTTCTTTCCTATCCTTGTTTTTGGATTAAGATGTGACCCACAGGCCCACCCAATGCAGAACAGCTGAGGTTACTGCATGACTTGGCTCCGCAGACTGAAGTGTGAGGTCGAAGTAGCATGGGATCCATTGTAAAATTACTTCCTCTATCCAGTCACATTGTGATAATGGCACATTCCTGTGGCATATTGCTCATCTGGGTTGCTCCACCTTACCGTGGAGACCTGCACAGCAGTCACTGCAAGAAACCTGGAGGAAAAAATTCAAACTGAAATACTAATAAATCATGGTAAAGCATGGGAATTAACCAGGGGAAGGAATGCTTCATATATTTTTGTGATACTGCTTATACACAGAGCAGTGAAGGAGACCACTCAGATTACAAGCTCACAGCTCATCCGTGGACTGGGGACACAGCATAGGCATGGAGAGACAAGCATGTCCCTCGATAAGCAGCGCAATGGTACAATGTAAGGGAACTGAGCATTGTCCTTTACTTCACTGACTGAAATGATACATTTATTTTCTTCTTTACTCCTTCCTCTCAATCACCCTTTTATTTTTTTTGTCTTACAGATGTACCATTTCATCCCACCAAGGGTGTATCAGCATAGATATATATGTATCTACATATATATGTGTACAGAGAGAGAAACTGATCAAAACAATAAGCATTTTATTATCCACTACCTTGTGTTATACAAACATTATTTCTCTACCCAAGAATGTCATCAAAGACCTTGTTTTCCAACTCTGTATTGTGTGTCAGCTTTGCTCTGGGACTTTTTTTTCCTTTTGTTCAGGTTGGCGTTATTTTGGTTTTAACTAAGTTTTTTTATTTTAGGGGGGAGGAGGTCAAACACATCCAAAACTATTTTTCTGCTAGTTATACAGTTTATTAAAACACATGGTATACAGCTGCTGATGCTCTGTGTGACACTTTCTTTGGATGGATGTGAAGCGTTAGATTGAATGAAAATTGCCCTAGTACCCCAAGTTCAGCCAGCTGGAGCAGTACCCGTATGGACCATCCCATACTGTACCTGGACCCAAAAGCCTGTTGCAGTCACTGACAATTCTTTTGCATTGATTTGCTGGGCTTCAAACTAAGCCTGGAGACTAGCAGTGTACTGATAGTTATCTTTATCAGTTCTCAGCCACTGCTAAAGCTGAGGGCCCAGCAAATGCAGGTCTTTGGCCAGATTACCCTATTAAGGTAAAGTCAGTCCTGTGGTTCCTCCCCTTGAACTTTTTTTTCTAGTAACTACCATGGAGACCCCTTCCCTTTGAGGCAAGGCAGCAGTGAGTGGGTAAGTTAGATTCCCCACTCTATATTTGCCCCAGTGGGCAATATGTGGATTTGGGTAGGTGAGGGACAAGGGCACAGTTTGCTGCTTCCTTCTACCAGGAGGATGCCCAGTGTTACCAGCTATGGTGTTTACAGCAGGCTTTCCAAAGCAGCATGTCATGGCTTTGAAAACCAACCTAGGATGTGTAGTGCAGTCCTTGCCTCACTTTCTCTTGGAAATCAGGTGGCTGTGAATGTTCTGGTTCACATTTGCCCTGTTTCAAACTATTCTTCCCATTCAGGAAGAATGGGAAGTTTCTTTCTTGGTAGCTTTTAAGGGTGAAGTATTGGTAGACTTGGATGACAACAAGGTTATGTATGCTAAGCCCGGACTTACATCAAGCGTATATCTCAGTCCAGATCTTATTTTACCTCAGTTCATAATGTAGTAACGCCTTGTCTGAGAGAAAACTTTGTCTGAGGATGGGAAGGCCCCTATCTAAGGCTACGAAAGCCCTTATCTAACAAGCAAAGACAAGGACTGGAAATATTGATTATTTGTTTAACTTAAATGAAGATATTTCCATCTGGACTTTTTCCCATTTGTTTTTAATCTAAAATAAGCAGAAAGACTGGGGGGAAAAGGAGATGCATCACACTCAGCTGCGCTCCTAGCAGCACTGCCGTGGCTGTCTCATCTGAGATACAGCGCAGGAGCCCTTCAGGGTCCAGAGAGCTTCAGCAGAGCTGGCTGATCTTTGCGTTCAGGTGTGGGTATCTCCTCTACCACATGCTCCTCAGCAGCCAGGCCAAGGTCTCGGACTATTACAGGCAGAGATCCAGCCCTTCCACATGGTTACTCTTTTGCTAGTCAGATGGGTAGGTGCTGTATATGGCTGGAGGTCCTTGGGAGCTACGTGTCAATGGAAGGGATCAACTCGCAGCAAAAGACCCATGCTTTGCCAGCAGAGCTCTGATCTCACTCAGCCCACCCGTGACATCCAGGCTGGGGAGCGTGGGCTTCCATTACCCATCACCACCTTGGGAGTCTCTGGGGGCCACATAAGCGCCATCCAAGGCCCCAAGGCTGAGCACCACATGTCAACAACTAATCCATTTGCTGAATAACTTAGATTTAATTACGTTTGCGTGTGGTTCATCACAAAAAAAGAGAATGATGATTGGGATTCAAGCTAGCACTCCAAGGACGCCACCCTGTGTCAAGGCCCTAAAAGCTGCAGCATGCGAGATGCAAGACCTGTGAGCATACACATTTGCTTTTGCAACATGCAGGTGTTCGGTGAGCTTGAATTTGAGCAAGGTAACACATTTCAGTCAGGAGCTGGCTTCCATCATGGGCTCCTGTGCTTTGCCCCTGACACACAGATCAGCCCACAGAACCATGCAGCCAAGGGAGTGTATTGCCTGGAGTAACATGCTCTTCCCTCATGTCAGCATGATTTGTGGGGAGTTAGCTCTTTCTTTCAAAGCCTGAACTTTGGAGCACATGGTATTGAAGAAGAAACACATATTTTTAATTTAATAAGAAAGGAACTAATATTTCCTAGCCCCAGTGTGAATTTAACCTGGAGTTAAAAAAATTGGAAAGCAAACAGAGAGACTGTAAGGTCTTTATACATGTCCAACAATAATAATAATTTCAATTCAAAACCATTCTTGTGGTTGAGGGGTCTGCCTTATGATTTTTGATGGTGGTTGTGAAGGCTGACTGTTAGACCAGAGAGGCAAAAGTCAGCTCTGGAGCTAGAAGAAACTTCCCAGATAGGCAGCCTTAGAAATGCCATAGAGGCCCATGCACCTAGCCTTAAAAACAGCATCCCAAACTGGGGAGTGCATGTCGCCAGGAACCCCCAAGGGACAGCAAACATCAACAGCACTGTGGGAAAAACCTGCCTAGCAAGAGCACTCCTGAGAACATCACCTGGCTGAAAGTTGAGGATGTGCTTGGGCTGCACATGCTGGAGCAACCCAGCATGCGACACGGGGCTGGCAATTGGTACGGCAGTCCAGGGGGATGAGCAGGGAACCTAAAGGGGGCTGGCGTTCCGGGGAGGTAGACCTGGGCCTCACTGCAGCCCAAAGTGGGGGTGCAGCTCCTGTTTGTAGCTTTCATGCCTTAGAATGGGTCCAGTCTGCTGAATATTTTCAGCCTGGGTATTTACACAGGGCTATGGGTCAGCCAGGAGCTGAACAGGGACCTGTCTCTTCCCAAGGCAAGTGATCAGGGCATGGTCCACTGCAGCATCGCTGGCTGGCAGAACAGACATAATGCTCTAAAGAAAAATCTATGGCATGAAGACTAGAAAGTGCCGCCAACACCAGTGCTACAGTCTGAGCTTCTGCTGAGCAAGGACCTCTGAAGCTGGGTGGTACAGGTTTGCTCCTCAGTGTCAGGAAGGTTCTAATGAAGGAAGAGGAATTTGAAGGAAATGCTGCAAAGGTAGTATTTGGCTCGGGGTTTCCTCAGCCCAGGTTTTGGGGTTGCCACATACTGTGATGTGACTGAAGCAGAGGAACTGCCTCTGAGCAGGGGCAGCTGGTGGAAGATCAAGAAGGACCATGCAACAAGGACCACATGTGGGGTGTGCTGGTGCTGTCTCACAGCTTGCAGGAGGATGCATTTGTCTTGGAGGATTCTCTTCCTGCAAGAGTATCTTCTGCTCAGTCTGCAGTGGGCTGTGAGGAGCTGGTACAGCATTTCAACTGCTGCCTTTCTAAATGCTGGTTTTCAAAACACTGTCTGTGTCCACTCACCACACTGGACTGAGGAGGCAGCTGTAAACTACCACTCGGAGACGGACTTCAGGATCTATCTTTGCTTTACCTGTGCACCTGAACAAATTTTCTTGTAGGTTTGTGGTGTGTCCTGGGGCAGCAACCTCAGGTCAGCACAGAGGTGGGGCCATCCTGGCAGAGACAGGTTTGACCCTCACAGAACTGGAGGAGCAGAGCGGGTATCTGGAGAGGCCTCACAAAGATGTATGGTTTCACAAGAAGTCAGTGCATGCTCACACACACAG